AGGAGGTGGCGCGCGTGAAGGAGCAGCTGGCCTTCCAGATGGAGCAGGCGCGGCGGGAGTCCGAAATGAAGGTGCGGGGAGGGTCAGCGGCGTGCAGGGCCCCACGTGCCCCGGCCCGGCCCGGCCCCCCCCCCCCCCGCACCGGTGACCTGCCGTCCTGTTGCAGCTGGAGGAGCAGAGTGACCAGCTGGAGCAGCTGCAGCGGGCACTGGAGACCAAGACTGGCGAGCTGGCGCACGCACAGGCGGAGCTCAGCCGCACGGAACAGGTAGGGGCTGCCCAGAACCCCGTGGGACATGGTGCGGTGCCACGGCACGGCCGAGGGCGCCCCGGCTCACAGGCCCGTGTCCGCAGAGCGGGGCGGAGTTGAGCTCGCGGTTGGACGCACTGAGCGCTGAGAAGGAGGCGCTGAGCACCGCGGCGCGGCAGCGGGAGGCCGACCTGGAGGAGGCCCGGAGCCTGGTGCGCGAGAAGGAGGCGGCGCTGAGCCAGGAGCGCGCCGAGCTGCAGGGCCGGCTGGCACGCCAGGTGCGCCCGAGCTGCAGTCCCGGGGCTTGGCGGGGGACTGCCATGTGCGCGCCCTCGGGGCTGTGCGTGTCCCGAGCCGTGCACATCCCCGGAGCTGCGTGCGCCCTAAGCCGTGCGCATCCCCGGAGCTGCATGCGCCCTGAGCCATGCACGCCCTCGGGGCTGTGCGTGTCCTGCGCGTCCCCAGAGCTGCGCGCACCCTGAGTCATGCGTGTCCCCGGATCTGCGCGTACCCTGAGCCATGTGTGCTCTTGGGGCTGTGCGTGTTTTGTGCGTCCCCGGAGCTGCGCGTGCCCTCGGGAACGTGCATGCTGTGAGCTGTGGGTGCTGTGGGTATGTCCCCGGGCTGTGCCCTGCGTGTCCCCAGGGCTTTGTGTGCCCTATGCGTCCAGGATTCCCCACAGCCCGCCCGGCCCCACGCTTGCTCTGCTGCTGCCCCATTAGTGGTCGCCAGGCACTGTGTCCGTCCATGGCCCTTTCCTGGTTCCTCGGGCGGCCCACGACGGGGCGACGCCTGCCCAGCCCCGGGCCTCCTTCCCACCCTAGCGGCTCCCCAGGGCCCCACCACCACAACCCGGCCGCACCCAGCACCTCCGCTTCGTGCAGGAGACCCAGGAGCGGGACCTGCAGCAGCGGCTCCTGGACGAGCAGTTCGCGGTGCTGCGGGAAACCGCCAAGGAGGCCGAGCGCATCCTGCAGGACGCAGTGGCCAAGCTGGATGACCCCCTGCACCTGCGCTGCACCAGCCCCCCGGGTAGGCCCTCCTGGGGCAGGCAGGTCGGGGTGGGCGCCCGGGCAGGCGGGGGCGTTGCTCACGGTGCCCACTCCCACCCACTCCCCGCAGACTACCTGGTGAGCAGAGCACAGGCGGCGCTGGATGCCGTGAGCGGCGTGGAGAGCGGCCACGCCCGTTACCTGGAGTCCCGGGCAGGTGAGTTCCCACGCGCTCGGGGACCCCGTGGGCTCGGTGCACCGCGACTTCCGTTCCACGGCCGCCTGAGCCCCTGGGTCCTCCGCAGACGCCTCTACACTGGTGGCCGCCCTCGCCCAGTTCTCCCACCTGACTGCAGACGCGATCGTCAACGGCAGCGCCACCGCGCACCTGGCGCCCACCGACCCCGCCGACCGTAAGCAGCGCCCAACAGGCGGGTGCGGGTGGCGTAGAGGGTGGCCCATGGGACTCGTGGGGGACCCCTGCTGCCCGGACTCCTGCGTCTCCCCGCAGGCCTGGTGGACACGTGCCGGCGGTGCGGCGCCCGCGCACTGGAGCTCACGCGGCAGCTGCAGGACCCGCAGGCACTGCTGCGCGCCCAGCCCGGCCTGGTGCGGGACCCGCTGCGGGGCCTCCTGCAGCTGGGTCAGGTAGGTGCGGGGCGGCCCCCACTTGCCTGCACCCCCCGCCCCACCCCAGGCTCCCAACCCCGCCAACCGACTCCTCCCCCGGCAGGAGCTGAAGCCCCGGAGTCTGGACGTGCGGCAGGAGGAGCTGGGGGCCGTGGTGGACAAGGAGATGGCGGCCACATCTGCGGCCATCGAGGATGCTGTCCGCAGGATCGAGGTGAGCGCCGGGCGGGGCTGCTGAGGGCGGGGGCCGCACCTGCGTCCCCCCTCTCCCGGGCCCTCACGGCTGCCCCTGGTGCAGGACATGATGAACCAGGCGCGCCACGCCAGCTCGGGGGTGAAACTGGAGGTGAATGAGAGGTGAGCGCCTCTTCCCGGGCAGGCACCTCGCGGGGCTCATACCTGCCAGGGGCTGTGCCCGCGACCGGCGCTGACAGCTCTGCCCACTCTCCCTCAGGATCCTCAACTCCTGCACTGACCTGATGAAGGTGAGCTGGCGGGCGGGCAGCTGGGCGAGTGGTCAGGGCAGGCGGGCGGGCAGTTCGGGTGGCCAGCGGGCGGCACCCGAGGGTGACCTGCAGCTTGGTCTCGGCAGGCCATCCGGCTCCTGGTCATGACGTCCACCAGCTTGCAGAAGGAAATTGTGGAGAGCGGGCGGGTGAGCTGCCCCATGCCCTTCCCTGCCGGGCCGGGATCCGACGTCTGAAGGGTGCGATCGTGTGAACACTACCCCCACCCCCACCCCCCGGCCTCCAGCTGCGCACAGCACCTGGAGTTGGCCGACCACCCCCACTGCGCAGGGACGCACCCTGGCCACCGCGGTGGGCGCGTCGGGGATGACATTGGGCCGCCCGCCATGCCCTCCTGTCGCCACTAGGGGGCAGCCACGCAGCAGGAATTTTACGCCAAAAACTCCCGGTGGACGGAAGGGCTCATCTCCGCCGCCAAGGCCGTGGGCTGGGGAGCCACGCAGCTGGTGTATGTCGCCCCAGGTGGGGGGCAGCAGGGGCCGGGGTGCGGGCCCGGGCTCGGGGGGCGGGCTCGGGGGGCCGGGGAGGCCCGAGACCCAGGCCCCGCCGGCGCGCCCGCTCGCCCGCAGGGAGTCCGCAGACAGGGTGGTGCTCCACACGGGCAAGTACGAGGAGCTCATCGTGTGCTCGCACGAGATCGCGGCCAGCACGGCCCAGCTGGTGGCCGCCTCCAAGGTGAGCGGGGCGGGGCGGGCCGCGCCCCCGCCCGCCGCCGGCCCGGCCTGACCCGCCCGCGCTCTGCTCCGCAGGTGAAGGCCGACAAGCAGAGCGCGCACCTGAGCCGCCTGCAGGAGTGCTCCCGGGCCGTGAATGAGCGGGCCGCGGGCGTGGTGGCCTCCACCAAGTCGGGCCAGGAGCAGATCGAGGACCGAGGTCAGTCGGGGCTGGGGCAGCCTGGGCCGGCCGGGCGGGCACACGCGCGCACGCCCACCCTCTCCCCGCTCCCTCTGCCGCAGACGCCATGGACTTCTCGGGCCTGTCCCTCATCAAGCTGAAGAAACAGGAGATGGAGACCCAGGTGAGCACCGAGCGGGTGCGGGTGCCCGGGGCGGGCGAGCGGGCGGGGGCGGGGCTGAGCGTGGGGCGTGGTTAGGGGCGGGGCGGGGCTGCTTGGGGGAGTGGCGGGGCCGAGCTGGCGCGGGGCGGGGCCGTACCGAGCAGGTGTGCGGGGCGCAGGTGCGGGTCCTGGAGCTGGAGCAGACCCTGGAGGCCGAGCGCGTGAAGCTGGGGGAGCTCCGCAAGCAGCACTATGCGCTGGCCGGGGTCGTGGCGCCGCCGGGCGAGGAGGAAGCGGGCCGGCCCAGTGCTGCCCCACGGGGCAGCTCCAGGAAGCCCCCAGTGGCACAGAAGCCCAGCGTGGGCCCCAGGCAGGACCACTAGGTCCAGAGGTGAGGAACGGGGCAGGGCAGGTCGGGGCGGGGGTGCACTCCCATGGGGAAATCAGAGCTGCCCGACGACGGGCGCGGGAATAGGGACGAGAGGGGTGCAGGGACTGGGGGGCAGGAGAGGGGGGCAAGAGAGGGATGCAGGGACTGGGGGGCAGGATTGGGGTGCGGGGCCCTAGACATTTCCCTGAGCCCCACCTTCGCCCCTTGCAGCTCGACAGGAAGGACAGCCCCCTCCCCCCTGGGCTGCTGAGCCTTGAGCTCCTGGGTCCTCGAGGGGCCCCACGCACCGGCTTGTGAGGGGCCATCGCCAGGGGCCTGGCCTTCCCGAGGAAGGAAGCTGGGAAGGACCCAGACAGACCCGGCACAGGCTGTTCCTGACAGCCACAAGCTGTGAGCGCAGCAGGCCCACGGCCGAGCCCCAGCTCATGAGAAATACAGTTTTGGGAACAGTCGAGTGAACTGTTGTGTATCTGCCTGGTGGGAGTGGGGGTATGAAACTGGGATTTAGGGGTCCTTAGAGACACACCCAGAACCCCCTCACCTGCCCTGCCTTGGGGAATGGGAGGTGGGCCCACAGCCAGGTGCTGGGCTGGCCACGCACCGTCCCCGTCCCTTTGGCCCGAGCACTTGGCTATACTAGTGTGACCCCGGCTGGCCCTGACCTTTGGAGCCACCCGCGATCTGGGTGCTGACCCGCCTCAGTCCCTCAGGTGAGAGGTGCCAGGCCAGGGCTCAAGTGATGGCACAGGGGGAGGCCGTTTGCCTGGCTCACAGCCGACCTGAGTTTGACCCCTGGCACCCCATAAGATCCCCCAAGCACCACCAGGAGTGCCCCCTGAGTGCAGACAGGAGTAAGCCTTGAGCACTGCCACCATCTGCCACCCCATAAAAAAGGCATCCAGGCTCCTGGGCGCTCCTGGGGCCAGCAGCCCCCCACAGGCTTGGGGGTGGGAACATGGGCACAGACAGTGACCTTTGTTGCTCTGGGCCCACCTGGCAGTGCTCGCTCTCCAACCTGCAGCGGTCTCTCTGGGCAAACATCCCTCCTGCCAGTTACAACAGCCGCCATGCACTGAGCACTGTATGCTTGGGGGGGGGGGAGGCTCAACCCGGCAGCCCTGAGCCAAGCCCCTGCAGGGTGCCAAGACCAAACCAGTCCGAGCTTCTCCACCAGGTCTGGCCCAGGTGGTCCCAGCAGGAACAGCCCGGCAGATACCAAGAACTTGTTTATTTTCTTCTATGTAAAAGATCCTACTACAACTTTACAAACAGCTCCAATGTGGCCCCAGAGGTGGCAGGGCGGCCGCTGCCCCCGGGAGGACACCACGCGCCCTTTTGGTGGGACCCCAGGGGCCGGGTGGCACCTTGTTCTAGATTTATGGCGAGTCCACGCGCAGCCGCGGAAGTTCGGCTTCAAGTCTAGGCGCAGAGCAAGGGGAGAGTGCAAAGGCTGCGGCCTCGCCCAGGCCTGCTGGGACGGTCACATGTGGCGGCGCTCCCCACCCCCACACACACACACCGGTCAGGCTAAGGCACAGCGCGGGCGGGCGCACTGCTGGCCACAGGGGCCGCCTCCGCTCCACGGCTCACAACACGTGTGCGTCTTTGTAGATTCCCTGAATGGTCCTTTACGAGTATCGAAAAAGTTTTCCAATATAAAACAGGAAAAGGACTTGGTGAGATGTGGGGTGTTCTGCTGAGTGGCACTGGCCAGCCGCAGCCGGTGCAAACTCCGCTTGTGGCTTCCAGGTCCCGGGGGGCTGGCGACGCCCCCCAATCAGAAGCACCTTCCACGCCGGCCCCCCACGGGCTGGGCACCGGCGTCTGGGGACAGGGCGGGGGCAGGACACACCTGCTTCTACATCTACAGGCCCCCGTGCCCGGCCCCCCGGGTGGCAGCCCCCTGGGAGGCGCCTAGAGGATGAAGCCGGGCTGGTGTGGGGGCAGGCGGGGCGGGGGCCTCTGGGGGAGCGCCGGTGGGTACGGGGACACGAACTGCGCAGAGAAGCCCGGCTGGGGGGGCAGCCCCACGCGGGGGGGCAGGGGTGGGCACGCCAGTCCGGGATAGGGCGGCCCCGGCGAGCCTGCTGCAGCCGTGAACGGTGTAGCCAGGCGGCCCGCTGGCACGGGGGGTGGTGGGGGCGGGACTCGCCGAGGCAGGGCTGAGGGGGCCCCACTGGCCTCCGGGGCCGGGTAAGGCAGGGGGGCGGCGGGCTCGGGCGCCCGGGCGGGCAGCGGAGCCGCGGCCAGTCTCTGTCCCTTCAGCACCAGCTCCTGCAGCTTGTCGATCTTGACCCTGCGCATGTGTGCCAGGCGGCGCTGGCTCTGGTACACGTCCACGAAGGAGTCCAGGGGCAGCTCCCCGTCCAGAAACTTCTCAGCCATGTTCTGAAAGCAGCAAGGAAACAGGCGCAGGCAGACATGAGCTGGGGGAAGGGGTCGCCAAGGCCACCTGGCTCCTGTCCACCCTTCCAGCGGCCTCACCTCTGTGTCCTCCTCGATCTTGGCACCTTCGGCCTGAAGCAGTGCCAGGAGAGTTTCCAAGGACGCGCTGCTGGACTGCTTGTCTGGGGGAGAAGGGGGAGGTGAGAAACGACCCAACACGCACGCACACACTGCGGGCATCCTGGCAGGGAAGGTACTGCTGGCTAGCATCACATGGGCCCCCAGCTCATACGCCGCACCCCTGGGCTTGTGACACCCCCCACCCCCCCATACATCTGCTCTCGTCCCACAGTGCACAGGAGCCTGGGTCACCTCCCAGAGTGCCCCCAATACACCCTCCCCTGAGCAGCGCCCCCAGGTGCCGCACGCTGGGACTCGCACTCAAGGCCCCTGTGCCCGTACTCACCCAGCTTGGTCTTCCGGATCTGGTAGGCCTCGAAGAGGGCCTGCAGCTCCTGGTACTTCTGGGTCAGGCGGGCCTTCAGTGCGTCCAGCCGCGGCTGGAACAGGAGGTTGCCCTCCGCCAGGCTGCGGTTGCTGGCCAGTGTCATCTCTTTGCTAAGCTGAACATTCTGTGTCTGCAAGGGGAGCAGAGCCGGGCTGAGACTGGGTGCCCCAGGTGCAGTCCCCAAAAGAAAGCTTTCCTTGAAATCTTCGCCTGGGCCCAGATGACGGTGCAGCGGGTGGGCACCTGCCTTGCACACAGCTCGGGGGCTGGACCCAGCACAGCCGCGAGAGACAACCTGACAGAATGGCCCAAGCCAGGCTCCAGCACCCACCCCCAGTACCCTCCAGTCCCACCGGCCCCCATCTCAAGACTCGGCCCCCCTGGCTGGGGACCCTCAAGCAGGGTGAAGGGAGACGCAGGGTGAGAACAGCCGCGACCCCCTCCCTGGCACCCAGGACTCCAGGCAGCCCACCACGCAGGCCCCTCACACACCGCCCACACTCAGGTGCCCCCCGCCCCACACACAACAGTTTGCTTTTTAGTTTCTGAGTAACAGTGGCGCGCCTGGCAGGAATGGAATGGGGTCGGCCGTACAAGGCCAACACTCTCTACGCGGGTTGCTGTCTCCAGCCCTGGCGTGGGTATCACAACCAGTAACTTACACAAAAGGATTTTGAATTTTTCCCAGACCCCCCCAAAACAGCCTCATCCTCCCAGCTGGGCACAGGGGCTGGGGGGGGGGCCTGTCCACTTTCTGCTGGCCTACCTAGCTGAGCCGACTTTCTGTTCCATGCCCGGCTCCCCTGGGGATGTTCTGCTTAGGCCCATGGCCGGGAGTGTATGTGTGTGTGTGTGGGGGGGGGGGGGCAGGTCCACGGGGGCAGCATCCTGAGGGGCAGGAACCTCCTGCTCCCGCCCTGAAGAAGCCCCTGGCCCAGGTTCTTCTGAGTCTAAATGAGAAAGTCTTGGCAAAATTCAAGCTCGGAGAAGACAGAAATAACCGGAAGGGCCCAGATGGGCTGAGACTGTTCTCAGCCTGGGGCTACGGAACCATCTGGAGGCGCAGTGGGGGAAGGGAGGTGCCAACTGCCAGCACCCCCGCAGCACATGGAGCCACAGGCCATGTGCACACACCCACACACACATGTACCCACACATTCACACACATGCACATGAACACGCACACACACATGCACCCGCGCACAGACGCACACGCACACACGTTCTTTTGTCCTGCCCGTTAGGACAAACATCTCAAAGCCAAGGGCCACAGGCTCAGGGCCCCCGGTGTCCCCTCCTCTCTCTTGTGGGCAAATGCGGTGGGTGGGTGAAGGCGTGGGGCTCACTGGCCCCTGCAGGCACCCCTCTGGGCCCTGTGTGGGGCCGCATCATCTCGCTGCGGGCCTCGGCAACCACCTGGAGCAACATGCCAGCACCCGGCTACCTGCTGGGCGCAAAGGGTCTGTCTCCCATGGCGCTGTTGGCAGGGGCCGGCCCCAGAGCCGAATCCTCCTGGGCACATTCACAAGAAGGCCTGGGCGGTGCTGGGCCCAGCCACCTGACCCCAGCCTGTCATAGTTCAGACTCATCACGATACGGTATCTCGGGCTCAAGAATTCAGCTTCAGAGGCTGGAGCCATAGCACAGCGGGGAGGGCGTTTGTCTTGCACGTGGCCAACCCGGGTTCGATTCCCAGCATCCCATGGGGTCCCCTAAGCCGCCAGGAGTGGTTTCTGAGCGCAGAGCTAGGAATAACCCCTGAGCGTCGGCGGGTGTGACCCAAAAAGCCAAAATAAATAAATAAAGAATTCAGCTTTATAGAAAAAGATTTACTCTCATGTGACTAAAATTATTCCTTTTCTATTTGGCATGAGAAAATACTAGTCTAATAATAGGATTTTTTTCCACCTGTGGGTAGAAAAGGAGATTAATCAAAGGAAAATCAATTACTCTAAATTATTCTGTTTAAAATCCCTGACAGAAAAATCCTGAGGCGGGCAGGGGGGCCGAGCAACAGCACTGCAAGTGGGGTGCTGCTTTGCACACGGCCCACCCAGATTCGATCCCCGGGACTCCTTAGGATCCCCTGAGCCTGCCAGGAGTAGCCCCCGAGAACGACCACCTGTGGCCCCCACCCCCAGACCTTGCAGGGAATCAGATGTTCTCACTGACAGTATTGCAGACGTCGGGTACGGCTCCCCGACACACAACAGCGCACAAAGCAGCATCCCAGGGCGACTCACGAGCACCAGCCTCAGCTCCACACCGCCAAGGGTCGGCCGCGTGAGGAGGGAGGAGGGCGGGGCCCACGCCCTGGTGTGGTCAGCTGCGGGGAGATGCCAGCCAACACCCCCTGGCACCACTGCACCCTAATCCCATCAAGCATTCTCTGCCTGCGCACACAGCGCCCCTCCCCCTCCCCCGGACAGACCCCACCTGGACATCCCCAGAACCGTACGTCACCCCAGGCAAGGGTCAGCAGGCGCTGCTCCTGGGCACCACTTGGGAAACCAGGAAGAGAGAGAAAAAAGAAAAAGATGGAGCAGGGAGGGCACTGGCCTTGCACGGGGCCGGCCCGGGTCTGGTTCCCCAAGCCCACCAGTGACACCTGAGTGCAAAGGCCGGGTACGCCCTGAGCACCACCAGGTGTGGCCCCGAAACCAAAACAAAAAAATTATTTTTAAGAGAATGAAAAAACAAAACAAACACGAGTCTCTTACCTCATCACCACTTAACCAAATGCCTTTACCAGGAAATCCTGTTTGCTTTATGAATGCTGGGCGACAGCTGACGGTTCCCAGCGCTGCGCTGGGGGGGAGGGGGTCACAGGGACAGAGTCCCTGTGCCAGGGACAGAGTCCAGGCTGCGGCCGGAGATCGGTCACATGTGTGGCTCAGCCTCTGGTCTGGCCCACGGGCCCGGGCGAGGGAGCTGCTGCCTCTGAAGGCCTCAAGACCAGGACAGTTCCTGGGACACATGTCGAGGGTCCCCGAGGGCCTCCACTTGCTGCTGGGGGCCCTGCCCGGGCCAGCCTCTACCCCAGCCAGCGGCGAGCGACATCAGCTCTGACACCTGAGCCTGCCACAAGGGAGAACCCCCAACCGGGACAGCGTGAACGAGAGCCCAGGAGCGAGACGCGGCCCCGCAGGCCCGGGAGTGAGTAGGACGCTGTGACAGGGTCCTGACGCCCAGCAATGCTCGCGGCATTAGGACAGCCCCCAAAGCCACTCTGGGGGGCAAATACCACAGCCAAGGGTCTGAACATGAATGACGGGTGGCTCAGCTCCCAGGCTGCTCTGCGGGGGAACAGCTCATCTGTCCATCTGTCCCTCTGTCCCTCCCTCCCTCCCTCCCCCCCCCCATCTTCTCCCTCTCCTCTCTCTGTAGATGATGTTTCCTTTTGGGATCACACCTGGGGATCTCTCCTGGTGGTGCCCGGGGGACCCTACGGCGTACTGGGGATCGAACCCAGGTCAGCTGCATGCGAGGTGAGCGCCCACCCCGCGGTGCGCTGGCCCCTTGCCTGGCCTGGGGCTCAGCTCTCCCGCCCCACCGGGCGCCTCACTCTGGGCGTGGGCAGACCATCCTGACCGACCGCCAGGTCTGTCTCCTGTGTTACTGCCCTCTCCACCACAGGGGTAGGGGGTGGGGGGGGACAGGGACAAGACGGAGAGGGAGAGGGAGGGGGAGAGGTAGAGGGAGAGGGAGAGGGAGAGGGATGGGGAGAGGGAGGGGGAGAGGGAGGGGGAGAGGGAGGGGGAGGGGGAGGGGGAGAGGGAGAGGGAGGGGGAGAGGGAGGGGGAGAGGGAGGGGGAGAGGGAGGGGGAGAGGGAGAGGGAGGGGGAGAGGGAGGGGGAGGGGGAGAGGGAGGGGGAGAGGGAGGGGGAGGGGGAGAGGGAGGGGGCTCCAGCCTGGCTGCCAGCCCCCAGCTGGAGTCTGGTTTTTCCTCAGATCTGGTACCTGGGCTGTCACCGCCCGCTGTGCCGTCCCACCCGGCCCACGCCCTGCCCGCCACCTTGGCACTTCCCTACATGGAAAGTCCTGGCAGCGCAGCTGTGATTCAGTGGCCATAAAACCTGCCCCGCGCCCCACGCCCACTGTCATCCCTCCTGAACACAGCAAAGACACTGACTGGCTCAGCCCGCAGAGGCTGGAGGTGACAATAATTCTGTCACTCTGTCCCTGTCTGTCCCAAACACAGTAGCAGGTAGAGTGCTGTCTCTCCTCCTCCTCTATCTTTGTTTTTAGGTTTCAGGCCATTTCTGGGGTGCTCAGGGCTTATGCCTGGCTCTGCTCAGGGGGCCACAAGGGGAGACGGGGATGGAGCCTGGGTGGGCAGTGTGCAGGGCCAGTGCCCTAACCACTGGGCAATCTTTCCGGCCCCTCTGTAGGCATCACTGCGATTACTTGCCTGGCTCCACCCTCCTCTCAGTCTCTCTATCCAGCAGGTGATGATGCTCAGAGGGTGCAGTGGGTGCTCCACACCGGTGCCACCCCCCGCCGCCCACCTCTCCCGACCATGACACCCATGGGGGCTTTTTCCGCTCCTTTCCCTGACAGTGCGGTTGGTTGGGCCACGCTGAGGGACACCACGGCCCACGCGTACCCTTCCCAGAACGAGAGGTCACATGTCCCCTCTGACACAGGACCACGCTCCCCAAAACCGTGAATCAAAGCAGAAGCTTCTAGAACAGACAGCAAGAAGCCACACGACCTCAGACTCAGCTTTGAGGGTCCAGCGTGCTCAGGGGCGACACCATTTAATCCGTCCAGCAACCCTGGCAAGAGTCACTCACCAACCCCTTCGTCCCTCCTCGAGAAAACTGCCTCACACCTGCCAAGGATCAGGCTGAGGGGCCGGAGCCGGTCTGGACTGCCCCACCCCCAGCACTCAGAATAGACGCCGGAGCAAGGGCAGTTCCATCGAGGGATGAAACAGCCTCCAAGCAACAGCTCTGACGCTCCAAGAAACAGGCCCAGATGCTGTGTCCACCTGCTCTCACCCACCCCCAAGGGCCTGCACTGCCCACTCAGCTGCCTCCACCCGGCTCCTTCCAAGAAATCCTGATTCCTCCTTATGACAAGAAGATGAGAGGTCAGAGAGAGAGAGAGAGAGAGAGAGTAGAGGAAGGGCGAATGTCTTGCTGCTGCCACGCCGGGTTCAATCCCTGCACTCCATAGGGTCCCCCGAGCCTTGCCAAGAATGGTCCCTGAGCACAGAGTCAGGAGCAGGCGCTGAGCATCCCCAGGAGTGGTCCCAAAATCTCGAGAAAGAGAGAGAGAGAGAGAGAGAGAGAGAGAGAAAGGAAAAACCCAGGGCCGTTCAGTGGGCTGCAGGCTTCACATGCAGGAGGCCCAGATAGACCCCAGCACCCCAAGGCCCCCTGACACCTCCAGGTGTGGCCCCAAGCGGCCACAGGCAGTGACAGTAACTGCAGCCCCCAGGGCTGAGCTCGGCTCTGCGGCAGTCACGGAGCTGCCCCCAGCCCCACTCCCGAGAAAGCCGCCAGGGTCCACGTGGGGGCTCTGCAACCCCCCACCCCACGGTCACACAGAACACTCCTCGGGAGCGGCTCCCCAGACAGCGCCTCCCAGACCCACATCATTCTCGCCCGGCACAAGGACCCGGAAGGCCAGTGCTCAGTGGAACCATGACTCGGAACCAGGCAGACGGTATTTCCTGAGAGAGCGGTGATACGCAGCCAGCAGCCCAGTCCCTAAGGGACAGTCCCTTTTAAGGGAGTGCCCGGAGAGCCCAACGGGGTGACTGGACGGACAGAAAAAGGTGCATTCCACTGCCGTGTAAAAATAACTTTCAATAAAAATCCGACCGAGCACTTGGGCAGAGAGCCTAGGACACGGCCCACGGGAACCGCGTCATGGGCGGGAGGGACGGGAAAAATAAACACGGGCAGGCGTGGAAATGAGGATGTGAATGTCCGCACTGCACACACCGCAATTACAGCCATGTACCAGGCACCATGCCCGGCTGGCTGGAACCTACAGGGAGGCCAGCGACCAGCCACGCTCCAGGAGCCGCAAACCACCCCCTGGGGCCGGCAGGAGCCTGACTCTACAATTTAAACACTTTCTCCTGCCCATTAACAACAACAAAGCCCTGGGGTTGGGGGGAGGGGCGGAGAGGTGGGGGGGGCCTGTTCCACTTCCTACCCATGTCCACACCCCACGGGACACCCCACATTGGCAAGAGCAGACGAAACCGTACCTTATGCTAATGGTAATCAAAACTTCCTTAAAACTCTTGAAATAACACCCTATTAAGCTGTCATTCCGATCGCAGCGAGGGGCCGGAGCTCCCTGCCGGGAGAAAGCTACGGATCAGCAACTAACGGCTCCTCGGGGCCAGGGTGCGGGATGGACAGTCCGGTCGGGAGGCCACTCACTGCCCTCCACTCCCGTCGCAGACACGCTCCATTTGGGCTGGGACAAGCAGTTTAAAATATACCTATTAAAGTGCTCTCTGCCGCCCCCAAAAGCCCCACAGCGGGTCCAAAGGGCCCGCAGGGCAGCACCCATGCCCAGGCAGACGGCCGCGGGGGGCGGGGGGCCCCCAAAGGTACCTATTCTGGTCCTGGCACTTGGCTTCCAAGTTTTAGTAACACCACACCCAGCGGCCCAGCCACAGAGGGAGCTGCTCTGGACGGGCGGGAGAGGGTCACCTTGCCCAGCCCCTGCCCGGGATAAGCCGCTCCTCCCAACGCCCAGCCCCACCTCTCCAGCCCAGGACGCGGGGGCATCAGCCCCGGCCCCCACCCTTCCCCGCTCCGATTAATGTTCCACCAGGAGGCACGGCGGGTTGGCCAAGCCTCTGCGCCCGAGCCCAGATGCCTCTGGCCGCGCCGAGGGTCTCCCGGCAACTGCCAGGCCAGCGCCAGGCCAGTGCCAGGCGGGCACAGGCCAGCGCAGGGACGCGTCTCGCCTCTCGGCCGCCGGCGCGGAGAGGGGCCCGGGCAGGGGGCGGGCAGGAGCCCCCGGACACAAGGGGCCTGCCGGGGCGGCCGGCGCTCGGCCACACTGGCCCCTCTGTGGCCGGGACAATGACCTGTTGAGGTTTCCCGGCGCCTCCGAATGCGCGGCCACCCTCCGCCGCGCCCGGGGAACGGAGCCAAGACCCCCACCCGGGCAGGGGCTGGGCCGGGCGGCGTGGGAAGGCTCCGCGCAGACAAAGGAGGGGCGGGGGCTGGGGGCCGGGGCCGGGCCGGACACCCGGGCGGGGGAGCGGGGAGAGAGAAGCCCCCGCGGGCAGACCGGGGCCGGCGGGACCCGCACGGCTCCCCCGACGGCCGGCCGGCAAGCCCGGACCGGCCCGGGCGGGGGGCTGGGAGCTCCCGCCCCTGCCCGCCTTTCCCATCGCCCCACGCAGCTCCAGGAGCCCTGGGTGGAGGCCGCGAGCGCGTGGGCAGGGCATGGGGGGGAGCCGGAGCAGCCCCCGGGACCCCCACGTTCATCGCCTCCTGCCCCGGGTGGAGGTGGAAGCAACTCGGGGCCCCACCACTGCCCGGGGCACTCGGACCCCTCACGGGCACCGGGGCTCCCCGACCCCCGCCTGGCTGAGCCCGGTGCCCCCCACCCACACACACCCCTCGCAGACCCCACAGGGCCGGGGACCCTCCCAAGTCCACTCGCCAACAACTCGCACCGGGGCCAGGCTGCACCCCAACTGCTGAAGCGCCCAGCCCACCGCCTGCGGCCCGCGCGCCCCCGCCCCGCACCGCTGCCCCTCCGGCAGCCCGGCCGATCCCCACCCGCCGCCCCGCGCCCCCGCCGCCGCTCGCCTCCTCCATCTGCTGCACCATCTCGGCCAGGCGCCCGTCGTCCTCCAGCAGCTCGTTGAGCTGCACGAGCGAGAGGCCGGCGAAGCGCGCCTCGGCCCCCGCGCCCGCCATCCCCGCCGCTCTGCCGCCGCCGCCGCCGCCGCCGCCGCCGGAAGCGCCGCCGGCCCCGCCCCCGGGCACGTGACGCCACCGGGCTGTGACGTCATCGGCGCGCGGGCGGGCGCGCGGGCGTGACGTGGCGGGCGCGGCCGGGGCGGGGGCGTCGGCGAGCGGAGGGGCCCGCGCGCCCGCTGCGGTCCGGGGCAGGGCCCCGCGTCCAGCAGGATGCTGCGGCCGGGCTCAGGGAGAGGCTGGCCCCCCACACACCCGTTACCCCCCTCCGCGCCCCCCACCGCCTCCTGAAGGGCACCCCCGTCCTTCCTTGGAACTGGGGGGGAGGGTCCTCGGTGGGGACAGGGGGCCCTTGAAGAGGGTAGGCGGCAGTGAGAGAATGTGGAAATCAGGTTTATTCGCGGGGGACGAGCGCAGGACTTGGGTTTTTCATTGCAGGACACAGCAGGTCTGCGGAATTGGCTGTTGTGCAGGAAATTGTCACCTTCGAGGCTTAGGAGTTCCCGAGGGTCCCCGCCGACCGAGTCAAGTTAAGGGTTGGGGGCTGAGGTGGCCGCGGCTAGCACACATGCATGCTTGGCTTCCGAGGGGACCACACCTGGACGTGCTCCGAGGACCATGTGCAGTCCCCCGATGGAACCCAGCTCAGCCACAGGCTCGGGGAGCGCCCTAGCCCCTGGCCCGACCAAAGGGCCCGCCTGTGCATGGTACTTAGCTGCAGCCGAGCTCACACCATCCCCTTGCCCAGACCTTTCATCCCACAAACTTACTCAAGACGCGAGTTCTCAGCATATAAAGCAAATCGCAGAACCCCCACCCTGCTGCTAGAAGGCCGTCGGGGTGCCAAGGGGTCAGGAGGAGAGGAAACACCAACCCCCACAGCACTGCCCCCCACTCTGGTTCACAGCGGGCAGCCGCAGAGCTGGGTTCCCCTCTGGCTGCTTGGCAGATGCTCGGGTTTCTCTCTGCACCCACGTCTGCCTGTGGGATGTGGATTCACAAAATCTTTTGCTCAGGCCGATCAAGGGCAGCAGTGAGCATGCCAGAGCTGCTCAATGGAAGCGTTGTTACCTCCGGAGAAATATTACACAACCTCTCAGGAACCATTTGGAAGATGACTTCTAAAGGGGGTGGCTGAGCCCCAGGTTGGAGACTGGCACTAATGGGGCCCCCCAAGCACTGTCAGGTGTGGCCCCGAGATAAAAGACAAAACAAAAGACAGCCTGCTCCCCAATGAGCCGCAGACACCCTGTAGGCCTCCAGATTAGGTTCACCTGAGGAACCTGGGTGCCTGATGGGGCGGGAAGGGCTGGCCGGTGACCAGCGCACTCATGCTCTGAGGTATGTGTGGGAGGGGAGGAATCTGCCCCCAGGCTGCAGGTGGGCCGTGTCCTCTGCCTGCCATCTGACCAAGGCACTAGTCAGCAGGAAGGAAAAAGGCATGTCTGTCACCAACCCTGCTCGGAAGAATCAAATAAAGCAGCATTTATTTCTTTCCTTATTCTGGTTTGGGGGCCACACCCGGCGTGCTCAGGGCTTACTCTTGGCTCTGTGCTCAGAGATCACTCCTGGTGGATTTCAGGGGACCCCCTGGGGTGCCAGAGATCAGCCGTGTGCAAGGCGAGCACCCTACCCGCTCTGGCTGTACTCTCTGGCCCCTAAAGCAGCACACTGCACACACTGCACACTGTCCTCCCATTGTTCATCGATTTACTCAAGCGGGCCCAGTAACGTCTCCATTTTGAGATTTGTTGTTACTGTGTTTGGCATATCGAATACGTCACGGGGAGCTTGCCAGGCTTTGCCATGCAAGCGAGAGACTCTGGGTAGCTTGCCGGGCTCCCCCACAGGGGCAGAGGAATTGAACCAGGCTCGGCCTAAAGCAGCATTTTAATATTTAATTTGAGGTTTCCATGTTTGAGTGAGGGTGTCAGAAGTTTAATTTTTTTGTTGTTGTTGTTGTTGTTGTTTTTTGCTTGTTTCAAGGCCTGGTCCCAAGTATTTGGGAATTTTTTTCCCTCTTTTCATTTTCAGCTGCCGGTGGGATCTGTTTAAAGGGGCAGTTTTCCTCATGGAAGAGCGCACTGCGGGTCCCCAAGCATGCCCACAGACTTCTGTGACAAAAGGACATCCTCTGCAAGGGCTCATCTTCAGAATGTGGGACAGCTCCATGGTACACGACTGCTGGCATGTGGGAGGCCCTGGATTCAACCCCTGGCACCATGAACCAACCCCCCCACAGTTGCTCTTCTTGCCTTTTTCCACGTCTGGAGATTGAGCATGGGGCTCACTGTTGGCCCATTGTTAGATGCTAGGTTCAGGGACATGGTCTCTTCACGCTGTTGTGGGCCCTTGACATGCCCCGCTAACACCCTATCCCAGCTGTGCCCTCCGCTGTGATGCTGGGGACCTCTGTTCAGTGAGCTCAGGCAGCAGTTGCTGGGTCTGTGTCACTCAGCACCGGTGGCGTCAGTGTTTCCTTCCCCGACAGAGCACGCTCTGTGCACGTGCCCACATGTGGACCGAACTGCACCATGTGGGTGGGGGAGGGGAGCTGGGGCTTTGGGGCTGGACAAGACCCCCGGGAAGAGTGGGGGCAGGGCCCAGGAAGGCTGCATGGAGTTCTGTGCATTTTGGTTGGATTTTTTGGGGGGGGGCACACCCAGCGATGCTCAGGGCTTACTTCGGCTCTGCACCCAGGAATTACTCCTGGCAGTGCTCGGGAACCATATGGGATGCCGGGGATCTAATCCAGGTCAGCTGCATGCAAAGGCAAACGCCCTCCCCACCGTCTGTTGCTCCAGCCTGTCCTGTGCAGTTTTGGAGGGCCCAGCAGTCTCTGTCTGTCCGTCTCCCCTGCACCCGCGCACGCAGCAGGCCCGAGTGCTCTGGGTCCTGGCCACGCATGTTCCCTATTCTCAGTCTTGCGTAATCGTCGCCCTGAGGTTGGCTTTGGTTTCGATTCTCGTTCTTGAGCTTTCAAAGATGCACCTCGCACCGTTTCCGGCCGCAGGACGGCTGTGGGCTGGGGCGCCCGGCACACCGACCGCAGCGGAAGAAGCTGCGACAGGGTAGCCACGGGCCTCCTTTCATGCTGTCACCCGCCCCCAGCCCTGTGCGCAGCGGCCTGCAGCACTCGCTGGCTCGCTCCATCTGTCACCAGCACTCAGAGCGAGTGGCCACGCTGAGACAGTGGCCAGGCCTGTATAGGCAGGAATGCCACCGCAGGGCCTGGTTAGAGCAGAGCCCCCAGCTCGGCCCCTCCTGCCTTGGCTCCTGGAACACAGAGGACGTGGATTTGCTATGAACCTACGGCTGACAGCCAGCTGCACACAGGCCTGCCGGCCACCAGTGCCCACCAGGGAGGGTTCTCCGGGCCCATAACACACTTTCAGCCCGGAGAATGACAAACAGACTGGGGGCCACCTGGAGAGATAGTGACTTCTTATATGGGGTCAAAGGTGAAAAAACCTCAGTGTGTCTGTCAGTGTTATTGCCAGGAACCAGAGAAAACGTCCCGGAATGAAAACTAGAGGGAGGCGAAGTTTCCTGGGTCATGAGCGCCCAAGGACCAAGGCGGGCTCTGTGGGCTGCCTCTGCCATGGGGCCACAGCCTCTGTGCAAGGCAGTGGAGACAAACAGTAGGCTCAGGAGGGTGGCACTCTCTGGCCCGGAGGCTTTGTTGTTTACTTACAGATATGAGCATATGTATGCATTTTGTTTGCTCTTTTGTGGGGGAGGAAGTACCCCCCCAGCCGGATTCCTCCCCCCAACACCACCCAAAGGCGGGAGGACCACCTGTTGTCCCCTGCTCAGTGCTGGGTCTCTGAGACCCACCAGGTGGTTCTCAGGGACCCCAGGGCCAGGCCTGCTGACGCCACAGAGACAGACCCTGCAGGATAGCACCCGGGTCAGTCGACTTTACCATCTCCAGAGCCTGGACTTTTGTCTATAACTATAAAGGAAGGAAAACAAGTGTCGATTCATTTCCGCAAGGGTTTACCAACTTGGGTATTTTATTAAGCATCGCTGGAAAAGCAAAAATAGTTATACCCCTCCCCCCAAAAAAGTGAAGAAACTCTTCAAGCTCCAAAAATATGCATGCTGAACCTGCAATAAAGCATCATTTCCTGGATCATAAACCACAAAACCGGAGGCTAAGTTGTCAAAACCTGATTTGCTCTAACCCCCTGCTTTATTGCCCTCACTGATTATTAAAGAGAGGGGGTTGGGCTTCTGGGGGCACGTGTAATAGGCTGGGGTTCGTGGTCTCCAGGGTACCCAGGTCTGACCTCTGGCACTGCGTGGATCCCTGGACACCCCCAACGCCCCCAAGCATCAAGCTGGAAGTCATCCCTGTGGATCCCCAAAAGAAAAATGTAATTTAATTTTAAAAATCAAGAGAGAAGTTTTGATAGTTTTAAAAATGCCTATTTTGTTAAGATGCCTTTTTATTTTTTAATCTTTCACCAAATGTTTCTGTTTTATGTCATTATTGCAAATCAGAACACGAGTCATTTTCGATTTGTCTTTAGGGTGGTGTTCGGGGCCCGAGGCGTGCTGGTGCCGCCTGGCCTCCTGCTGCCCGAGACCTCTCTGGACCACTGCCGCTGGTCGAAGCCGCCACAGGAGCAACGCGTCGGATGGCTCCACCTTTGCTTTCCTGAAGGGAAGTTTTCGATCCCCCTTGGGATGGTCTCCAAACCCCAGAACTTGGTTCTCCTCACCAAAATGAGGTTATTTATTTATTTTCTGCTTTCTGGGTCACACCCAGCAATGCTCAGGAGTTCCTCCTGGCTCTGCACTCAGGAATCACTCCTGGCAGTGCTCGGGGGACCTTATAGGATGCCTGGGATCCAACCGGTTTGGCCGCGTGCAAGGCAAATGCCCTCCCCACTGTACCATTGCTCCAGCCTCCCAAAACAGCCTTTAGAAAGTGCCCTCCAGGCCCAGCCCACCGTGAGAGGCTGTAGACGCAGGAACACCCCGCACTGGCCTTCTCAGCTCTGCGGTTAGGCAAGCTCCGAGTTCACT